TTGAGTTCTTACTGAGTACTTACAGTAATGGTGTTCTTAGGGTACCTCTCAGTACACTGGTGAAGTTTTGTAAAATACACTAAAGAAAGTGTGATTACAAGTTTGGATAGTGTTCACAAGGAAAGGGACAGTGCTTCAGGAGACCCCGACCTCGGTGGAAGGTCAGGAAAGGTTCTTCTATGAGAATAAACACTTCAGCTAACGTGAAGGACTTGGAGGTTACCAAGTGAAGGGATTGGGGTGTGGAACAGAGCAAATCAGATAAAGAAAAAACAGAACAGAGCAAAGGCTCGGATTGAAGAAGTCGAGAGAGATTTAGTTTGTAAAATGGCTCAGATTTTTATCATGGATTGGGTTTGGGAGTTGACGAGAGAGGAGAAGGAATCAAGAAAGATCTCTCAATAAAGACTGAGAACCGGATGGCTGATCGTGCCATTCATCAGAGTAGGGAACAGTAGGAACAGTGGAAGCAGGTACAGAGGGGAAGATCAAGTTTCATCTTGAACGAGCTGACTTAAGTTGCCTTTGAGATACCTACACAGAGATGTCTAGGAGGCAGTTGGCTATAAGAACAGAGGTTTGGTTAGAGAATTTTGGAAGCCATTGTCATATATATAAGAATTGAAGCCGTGATAGTAGCTGAGTCTATAGGAGGACAGTTTAGAATAGAAGGCAGCCCTTTTTGAGGTGCCAGCCTTTAATAGTTACGTAGAGAAGGGTGAAACAGCAAAAGAGACCAAGACGTATTTAGTGATATAGAAAGAAAGCAAGAAGTAAATTGTATCACTGAAGCTAAGGGAAGTGTGTGTTTTGTGAAGGGGGGGAATGGTCATCACTGTTAGATGCTACTGAGAGTCCGGAAATGATCACAAGAGTCATGAAGGCATCAGGAGGTTTCTGGGAAACCTGGAGAGAACTGTCGAAGAAGAGGGAGTGGCAGGAGCGCATTGAAGACAATAGCAGAAGAGTCTCTAAGGAGAGAGCGAGTATAGACAGGTCTTTCAAAAAGATTAATGGTCATGTATCACAGACAGAGCTGGAGAGAACTGTGGAGTGGAGGGAGGGAGGAAGGGCTACCAGGAAGGTTCCAGTGCCGGGGGGAGAGGTTGAAGCTACAAGAGAGGGCGCAGTCTGTGATAAAGTCAAAAGGAGGCCAAGAGGATGGGTTATAAGTTACGCTCAGTTGAGAGGTTGGTCTTAGATGAACTCCTTTAATCTGACAAGAGAGGAGGACGAGGACGAGGCAGATCAAAGCTGATTTGTAAGTTTGGGAGCAGGAAGTTGAGGGTGTTCCCATCTGATGTCTTTACATAAAAGTCTGTACTAGGTTTCAATTTTGTGCTTGTATGACATAGTAATGATTATACTAACCTTCACAGGCTGGTTTCTCTGAGTTAGTTATGTGTGTTATGTGTATTAGTTATACGTATTCCGTCAGTCTGTATTACAGCATATATTATCTCTGTAGACATACTGCCTAGGATTTGAATCCAGACCTTACCATTACCTATGTGACCTTGAACTAGATTGAATCCTCTCTGGGCCTCAATTTCTTCTGTAAATGGCAGTAAAATACAGGATTAAATGAGTGTGTGCACATATGTAGACACATATGTACACATTTATATATAGTGCTTAACGTGGACTTGGAATTTGGCCAGTGTGCCCTAAATCCTAGCTAGCAATAGCGGCAGTGGTAGCAGTCCCTGTCAGCCACCAGCATCTGGCACTGCCCTTATCACTCCCGTTCCCTGATGCCATGGTGCCCTGTTGTACAGATTTGGTGACAATCAGAGGTGAAGTGATTTGTTTGGGGCCACACAGCCAAACAGCTGAAAGAGCCAGATTTCAGACTAGGTGTGTTCTGCTTCAGACCTATACTTTTACAAGTTCTGAAAGCAGCTTATCTGGGATAGTTCTTCTGTAGCTCTCTTGATACTTGTAGTTCAGGGTTAACCTTATATAAAGATGCGGAGTGAACAAAGTCAGAGCTGGCCTTTCATAGTGCCTACCAGCCCAGGGGCTTGCTCCCGGCCAGCGGACCTGTTCTGTGTTCCCCAGCTCCCACTGCTCTCCTGCAAATCTGCTCTTCCCTTACTGGAATCCTGCCATATTTTGGTAGTTCCCCCATCTGCAACTTTCTCTTTCATTCTTAGTTTATGTTGGCCATGTTTTCCCTTTTTAAAATTTGTATCAGAGATTGTGTGAGTTCAGCTTGGAATGAGTGAATTGAGGGTGGAGAGTATACCTTACCCTGGGTAGTTTAAAGGGCGTGGGTTCCTTTCCACTCTTCCTTGGAGAATGAGCTGAAGAATGAAGTGATGGGAGCTTTGTCGCCAGTTCGGCTTTTACACTCACTGTTAAAAACACCTCCCAGGCATTTATAACAGTCAGTGTAACACATACCCCTTACCTCACTTTTACCCGACGGCATAGCTTGTTCCTCTGCTTGTGGCCTGTTCCGTGATTAATTGCGTCCCTTTTCTGCCCCCTAATACCTGATGTTCTTTCAACGTTCCTCTTTAAAACTCACAGGCCTTCCTTAATGTTTTTAAACTTAGAGACTTTCCCTGGTGCTTTATATTCTACCACAGATGGCTTATTTTATGAAACAATTTATATTGCAACAGAATAACTTGTAAGAACACCATCAGACCATATGGGAAGGACACGAAGTTCTATAGAAGGAAGGTGCAACATGTGATTATTTTTTTAATTTAATGTAATCATAGTAGAATGTTATTGTGTTACTGTTGGGGGGAGACTTGAGATAATACCACTTGAAAATAAAGCAGTCTGAGATACTGCCATGGCCTTAATGTATTTTTCATGGTTAGAATAGCTTCTTTGTTGGATCTCCCCGACAGATTTAAATTTCCTTTTAGTCCCGTGTTGTTTGATGGTCCCAGGGGAGCACGTTCTTTTCAGAAGAGGTAACAGTTGATCTTGGCTTCCTAGCAGTTGGCTCTCGTGAATCACTGCTTTCTTTTTCTGGCTTTTAATAGCATTATTGTGGTATAACTTATATTCCACACAATTCAGCCATTTAAAATGTAAAATTCAATTGTTTCTAGTAAATGTGTAGAGTTGTACAACCTTCATAGCAACCCAACTTTAAAAGTTTTTCATCCCCCTGAAAGCGTTCATTGAGCCCACTTGCATCAGCCTCTACTCCCTCTTCTGTATAAGCCCCGATTTGCTCACTGTGTACAGATTTCCCTGTTCTGGACATTGCCTATACTTGGAATGGTAAAGTGTGCTGCCGTCTTTTGCATCTGGCTTCCTTCACTTAGCAAAATGTTTTTGAAAGGTCGTCATCCATGTTGTAACATGTATTGGTAGCTTGTTGCTTTTTACTTCTAGGGTTCAGTTGTATGGCTATTCCACATTTGGTTTATCCATTCATGAGTCGATGACTATTATTTCCACTGGGGGTGTGGTACCAGTAATGCTGCTCAACATTCACGGGAAAGTCTTTGTGTGGACAGATACTGTCATTTTCCTTGGGTAGAAACCTAGGGATGGAATTGTGAGGTTGTGTACTAGTTTACGTGAAACTGTTCAAGGAACAAAGTATTTTTCTAAGTGGTGGAAGGGGTTTACACTCCCAGCAGCAGTGAGTGAGGATTCTGGTTTCTCCACATCCGTGGTGTTGCCTCAGTTGTTGCCATCACTGTGGACATGCCACGGTGTGGTGCCGCGGTTTTCCTGGGCATCACCCTTCCTAGTGAGTAATAGTGTTGGCGTATCTTACCCATTTTAATAGGTCGTTTGTCTTTTTAGTGCTGAGTTGTGACAGTGCTTTGTATATTCTGTATACAAGTCTTTTATCAGATATGTGGTTTGCAAATGTTTTTTCCAAGTCTGTGCCTTATTATTTTATTTTTTAATTAAATCTTTTTAATCATATAAGTTTAAACATTTTTAATGAAATCCAGTAATTGTTTTCTTCTATGATTTATGGTTTTAGTGCTCTATCTAAGGCCTCTTTGACTAACTCAAGGTCACAAAGATTTTTCTCCTTAGTTTATTTCTAGAAGTTTTATAGTTTTAGCTCTTACATTTAGGTCTGTGGTACATTTTGAGTTGACTTTTGTGAGTGTTATGAGGTGAGGGTCTGAATTACTTTTTTGCATATTAATATTAAATTATTCTAACACGGTATATTGAAAAGACAGTTCTTTCTCCTGTTTGCCTTGTACTGTTACCGAAAAGCATTTGACCACAGACAGAAGGGCTTATTTCAGAACTCTCTGTGCTGTGCCATTTATCTGTGGTCTGTCCTTATTCTGGTATCTTACTGTCTTGATTACTATAGCTCTATAGCAAATTCTGTGATCAGACAGTGTGAATTCTCCAAAAATCTTTTAAAAAATATTCTTTGGATTACTCTAGCACTTTCTCTTTTCTTATATTTTAGAATTAGTTAGTATTAACAAAAAGCCTGCTGGGATGTTGACTGGGATTGCTCTGAATCTGTAGATCAACTTGGGGAAAATTGCCATCTTAACAGTATCGAACCTTCCAATCCATGAACATTGTATATCTGTCCATTTATTTTGTGTCATGTGATTTATTTCATCAGCATTTTATAGTTTTAGGCTACAGTTCCTGCACATATATTATTAGATTTATATGTAAGCATTTAATTTTACACTTGTGCTATTGTGATGCTTTAAAAAAATCAGCTTATTTTTCATCTCCCATCATCATTTCAACTTTTGCTCAAACACTATGAGTTGAATTCACCCATATTATATTTGAATATGGCCAAGTGCCAAATAGTGCCTCAAAAATACAGTAAGTAGCCTCCGATATTTTTCATTTATAGTTACTCAGAGGTAAAGAAAGAAAGGAACACTGTTTATTGCTTTGACTCAGGGACTACTTAGCAGTTGTTTAGTAACACTGTTGTATCCGTCTGTGTACATTACTGAGACTGTGCAACCCTTTCTGTCAGGAAAGGGCGAGCTTGTAACCTCCTGTTGGTTCCTCTGCAGGTGTCGCAGCCTCCCTGGACGTCTCAGGGAGCCCTGGGAGTGTCCAGGTGGCCCGAGGTCAGACAGCAGTCCTGCCCTGCACTTTCACCACCAATGCTGCCCTCATTAACCTCAATGTCATTTGGATGGTCATTCCTCTTGCCAATGCCAACCAGCCTGAGCAGGTACTTTTCTTCCATCCTGTGCCATCCCTAGAATATTAATATTAATCCTTTCAAAGGAGGCTGGTCAGAAAGCATAGTGAGTGCATATTTGGTTCCTAGAGAAAGGGGACACTTTCAGTGCACCACCGGTGTTTCACGCCCTGCCCCTGAGTCACTAGTCCAGTGTCAGAAGAAGCGATACTCTTTGTAAAAGATTGAAAAAAGCTTAACAGATGTCAAGGGGGTTCTTCTGAGAATTTTATGTAGGAACCTGAAGTTTCATCAAAAAATATTACTGACAGGAAATACCAAGACTGAATGTATACCCAAGCAAAATATATTTGGAAAGGAAGAGACCGGAACTAACATAAGTGGATGAGATATGATAATATTAAAAAAATAACTTTAGATAATAGGACTTAAATTATTTGGCTAATTTCACAAGTATTTTAAAATAAACAAAGCCAGCCAGGCACACTGGAGTCTCACTTAAATTAGTGTATGTGGAATTAGAAGTTACTACCTAATAAGGTGTATTGATTATAGTAAAAGACCCATAATGTGTGATACCCATTGCAGAAAATAATGCTGAGAAAATTAATGAATTGTGAATATGACTCTACCTTCATTGCCTAAGTTAACTCCTTTCTGTTATGAAGCTTTTCTGCTTCAGCAGGCTTATTACTACCTCAGTATATTTGATAAGCTGAATTTTCTGAAGGGGTTTGAGTTGGCAGCAAAGGGTGAGGACATAACTTCCTATTTGTCCCTCTGGTGGGTGAACAAATAGATATACTTAGTAGCTACTTCTCGTATTTCTTTAACCTGTGGAACTTTCGTAACTGGACTGAGCCTTTGAGATCATTTTGTTCAGACTTGCCATTTTAGGAGTCAGTGATTGAGTGAAAGAGGCAAAGGAGGACTTGACCTTGACCACAGTTCCCTGGACAGTTACTGGTCAAGTTGGAGTAGAACTGAGTCCCTCACTCTCCGCCCGAAGGGCTTTCAGCAGCAGGGTTCCGAGTCCGCTCCCATTAATGGTTAACTTCAGTGACAGGAATTGACGTAAGAACAGCAACGAAGGGCTTATAACTCTTCTTCCTTTTTATGACATTCATTTATATTTGGGCATTAAGTGTGATCTATTATTTTGTGGCCTAGGAAGCATGAGAACGGCAGTGCTAATTTAAAAAAATTTCAAATTTGGAACCGGTAAAAAGGTTTATGGGCTGGTAGTAGCATAGCCTAACAGAATATAGCATCGTTCTATATTCTGATGAGTTAGGTAAGGAAATAATGTTATTCCACTTTGGTACCTAAGAATTTAGAATCGCTAGATACCTGTGGACAGGTATAGTAAGAACTCGGCGACAACTCTAAGTTCAAAATAAAATTTCCTGATGTTTGGTGCGGTCTTTTGTCTCCAGGTGGTTGTTGGGGGTCTGGAAGGAGACGCAGCAGCCCCTTTACTCGCTCTGCTTCCTTTGCAGGTCATTCTGTACCAGGGTGGACAGATGTTTGACGGCGCCGCCCAGTTCCACGGCAGGGTAGGGTTCGCGGGCACCATGCCAGCCACCAATGCCTCTATCTTCATTAACAACACGCAGCTGTCAGATACGGGCACCTATCAGTGTTTGGTTAACAACCTTCCAGACAGGGGGGGCAGGAACATCGGGGTCACCGGTCTCACAGTTCTGGGTGAGTGAGGGAAATGTGCCAAGCACGTGGGCTTTACCTGTGACTCTCCTCTGAAGCAGATTTGCTTCTGCCTGTCCTGTCCCGTCGTGTCCGTCTGCTGGTGTCCTCCTCCTGTCTCCCGTTTCCCCTCCACTCAGCCCACCTCGACTGCCTCCATGTGCCTCTGAGTCCCCCGACCCCGCTCTGTTTCAGGGAGTCCCTGAGGTGGCATAAAATACCTTCAACAGTGGCCTCTTGCTTTTCTTTTTTTAAATTTATTTTTCTTTTTTAAAAAGATTTTATTTATTTATCTTTAGAGGGGAAGGGAAGGAGAGAGGGAGAGAAATATCAATGTGTGGTTGCCTCTTGTGCGTCCCCCGCTGGGAACTGGCCTGCAACCCAGGCATGTGCCCTGACTGGGAATTGAATCTTGATCCTTTGGTTCGCAGGCCTGTGCTCAATGCACTGAGCTACACCAGCCAGGGCTGGCCTCTCACTTTTCTTAAGCTTCTGCAGGATAGGACTTATCGAGAGCAAATTAAATCAGGAGTTATATATTGTGAATATAAAACAGAAGTTTTAGCATGTGTGAAAATGTGTTCACTACTGCTCTGTGTGTGCCTGGGAGGCTCACCACAGTTCTTGGTGTGCACCTCTTGTCCTGGCATAATTTTAATCACACTTCCTTTCACTCTCAAAACTATCCTGTTAAGTGATAAATTGTATAATCAATTTGGTCTTAATACCAAGACGAAATAGACTTAGGGCCTTTCCCCAAATTATATAGACCATGAACAACAATAAAGTTTAGACTAAAATGTAGATCTATTTACTCATTCTGTTATACTGGCAAGTAAATATATGTAATACTTGATTATATTCATTCTAAACTTGTTTTATTTCTCAGTTCCACTGCCCCTCAATTCCACTTCCTAGTGTTTTATTAGGAAGTAAAACACTACCTCCCAGATGGATACTTATGGTACAAGTGGCTAAGTTCAGATCATTTCGGGAGACTGCGGAAGTGCTACCAATAGAAAAGGTGGTGCTTTTGATGGTCCCTCTTCCTGCCTGAATCTCACAATCTACTTCCATGTCCCTTGGCAAACTCCCTTTTCCCTTCATCACCGAGTCACATGCGGACACCAGTGTTGAGGGCTGTTACCATGTTTCTTCTTTGGGCGAGGATGTACCGTAGCTGCAGCGCCTTGTCTCCCAGTTTTCAACCAGAATAAGGAAACGAAGAACGAGGTTAGAGATTTCTATTCTAGAAGAACTATTCATTCTAATATATTTAAATTACGGACTCTAAAATACTCTGAGAGCTGAATACTGTTGGAATTTAATATTACTCTGATGCTTATACCTGTAAGTTAGGAACTTGCTTCCCACATTATCCAGGTTTATTTTTTCATTTTTTTAAAGGAAGGGGAAAAGCCATTAATTTATTTTATAGTTAATGCTACCTTGAAAGAATTATTTTGGTTTCCCCGCAGAGCACCACAGTGGCAATGGTTAAGGCAGTGACTGAGGAGATTGGTCTGTCCCATCAGGGCGGGTTAGGGTGCCCTGAGGTTTTTTACTCTTCCCACCTACAGGTCACTCTCAGTGTCTCTTTCTCCACCTGCCTTCTTTCCTAGTTCTTCTATATGCTGCATTTATTTTTCATTCGTTCATTCACTTATTTTTGCAAGATGGAACACAATTATTGGAAAGCTATTAGCATTATAATTATAAGTACATCATTACTTGGATTTAATCTACTGCTGTAGGCTTCGGTGAGACCTCCCTTTCTCCCTCTCTTCCCCTTCCTTCCTTCTCTCCTCCCTTCTTCCCCTCCTTCCTTCTTTATGAATCACCACTTTCTTCCTTTTATGCTCTTTTTCTTTGGATATTTTCTGTTTCATGTTTTTCATGTCCTTATCTACCTTAATGATTAGAAAATGCACTTACTGTCAGGTAGTAGGTAGACCTGAACCTTCCCCTGACGTGCCCCACTGTTAAGCAGCTTACCTACAAAGTGGGTCTGCTTAGTTTTTGTTTGTCAAGTGACAAAGAACCTTGTTAAGTGGTCTTAGCCAGAGAGGGGCTGGCAGGATACATGATTGCTCTTCCTTGAAATATCTTCCCTACAAGTGGTCTCTTTCAGTAATTAAAAAAAACTAGTTGTGGTCAAATACACATAATGTAAACTATACCGTCTTAGCAGTGCTCACATGTACAACTCAGTCGTGTTAAGCACACTCCCATTGTGGTGCAGCCACTCTTCACAACTCTTCTCGCTTTGCGAACTAACGCTCTGTACTCATTAAAGCCACATGTCGCTCTCCCACCAGCCGCTGGAGACCACTGTCCTACTTTCTGTCTCTATGGATTTGATAGGTACCTCATGGAAGTGGACTCATACATCATTTGCTTCTTTATGACTAGCTGATGTCACTCAGCGTAGTGTTCTCAAGGTTCATCCACGTTGTAGTGTGTGTCAGAATTTTCTTACTTTTTGGGGCTGAACAATATTTCATTGTAACGATATGCCTCATTTCACTTATCCATCCATCCATCGATAGACACTTGCATTGTTCCCACCTTTCAGCCGTTGTGAATAATGCTGCTGTGAACGTGTGTGTATCCAGTAGTGTTTTTAAAGGCAGTATGTTGACACAACATATATAGAGGAAGCAGAGTGAAACCAAAATCATAAGATACCTTGAAAATGTGAAAATCAGATACCCTTTACATATTTGTTCCCTGCCAACTGAGGCTGTAGGCCCGGTCTGTACCTGTGCTCAGGCCTGTGAATAGCACACGACTGTCCACTGGCTTCACACAGGTAGTTTCCTAGCATGTATTCCAAAAGCTGGAAGGTTCTGGTGCACTGAGTCTTGGATGTTTCCTCTTGTACGATCGGCTCCTAGTGAATGCGTACTTGATTGCTCACTCTTCCTGTTCTAGTTCCCCCTTCGACCCCTCACTGCCAAATCCAAGGATCCCAGGACATCGGCAGTGATGTCATCCTGCTCTGTAGCTCAGAGGAAGGCATTCCTCGGCCAACTTACCTTTGGGAGAAGTTAGACAACACCCTCAAACTACCTCCAACAGCCACTCAGGGTATGTATGGTGTTGCTTTACTTATTTAATTAGTTACTGTGGAAAATTTTAATTCTGTGATTCACAAAGTAATTAACTTTAATAGATTTTGGAAAATAACATACCATATTTATGATTGTTGAAAAAGTTATTTGCAGAATTTTGTGTTTTTAACTATAAAGAAGATAAAACATTCTATTGTATCTTCTCATTGCTGATTGTATGAAATGTATATTATCTAATGGTAACGATATATGGAAATTCTGTTCCATGTGGTGAAGATTTTAAAACAGTGCAGTGGTAGCTTCATTGTATTGCTAATCCTTGAAGTTTATAACTGAGAATCCACTTCCTACTTGCGACAACTGCCTGTTTTAGTATGAGAAACATCAGCCTAATTACGAAAGGGTCAGTCATCCTGTTTTCAGCCTCAAGTCGAATCAGAGGGGGAGGATGAGAAAGAGGACAGGAAAAGGCCACAGGTGGTCCAGGAGTTGACCACACCAGACAGGGAAACACGGAGGAGGCATGAGTATCATTGATGGTTTTCTACATGTAAAATCAGCTCTTCAAATTTGATATTAAAGGAGATACCCTGGAAAAATTGAGGAAAGTTTATGAAGTAATATGATGCAAATTATAGAATTATATATGTAAAATCTACTTTAAAAAATAAAATTTAGCAGTCTCAGGTGTTACATCATCTGTAATGCAGAACATGTTTCTTGTAGCATTTTCAGGGCAGATTTACAAATCTTAAAGAGTTGGCAGTTAATGGAGAGGTCCAAGACAACCTTGGTTATACCTGATAAGTTTGAATCATGGAAAAGTTTGAATTCAGGAAAGTCCCGAATTGCATGGTGAAGTTAGACAGATTGGAGAGCCAGGACCACCAGCCTCTTCAAGAGCTTCTAAGTTTTAAGAATCCCAACAGAAGTATTAAGGGACCTCCCATCAACTTTTAATTAACCAATCCCAGATTTCATTATTCTTAAAAAATTCTTTTCAGCCCTGGCCGGTGTGGCTCAGTTGATTGGAGTGTGGTTCTGTAAACCAAAAAGTCACGGGTTTGATTCCTGGTCAGGGCATGTACTGGGGTTGCAGGTTTGGTCTTTGGTCGGGGCACATACGATAGGGTTTGTCACTCACATCAGTGTTTCTCTCCCTCTCCCATTTCCCCGTCCCCTCCCCCCCACTCCCTGTCCCTCTTCTTCCTTCCTTTCTCTCTGAAATCAACAAGCATGTCCTCCAGTGAGGATTAAAAAAAGTTAAAAACTTCTTTCCACCATAATAACTTTTGGGTTACTCTGATAATGGTTACTGCAATACCATTGTTCTCTACTCTTTTTTTAACTGGGAAATGTTTTAGCTACACCGTGGGCTAGATAGTTTTATTTGTGTACTAAGTTGTCACTCTCATCATGGTAAGTAATATTTTTAAAATAGATCTTGTCTTCGAATCCTGAAATTACATTCAAATTCTAGATTTTTCACTGACAGTTTTCTGTGACAGCTCACCTCTTGGGACTTGTGTTGCCCTTTTGTAAAATAAGGGGGTTAAATGATATTTCTAAGATGATTTTTTCATCTTAAGATTCTATGATTTATTATAGCATTTCTTTAAAATACTGGATTGAGTTTGGAATTAAAAATGAACATTTAAAAGTGTCTTGTTTGTATGTAAGTTACAAAGTACCTGTATAAAGAGCTTTCCATAACTTCGGTTCTGAATAAGTGTGTATCAGTCTAGTGTATTGATATTTTCTTTGCAACTTAAATATTCTCTGATACTTTAGGGGTAAAAGAGAACTTGAATACAAAGATGAAAATGTTTGTCTTCTATAGCTCAGACTCTGGATTGGTTATAAAAATTAGATAATTTCATCTGTAATTATAATGCACATTAGATGAGTCTGAGTTTTAATTTAAATTTACCTCTTTTTATTTTATTTTACTTTATTTTATTTTATTTTATTTTATTTTAGATTGTGCTATTACAGTTGTCCTGATTTTTCACCCTTTGCCCCCTTCCACCCAACATCCCCCATTCCCTCAGGCAGTACCCCCTCCATTGTTCATGTCTGTGGGTCATGGATATTAAGTTCTTTGGCTTCTCCATTTCCTATACTGTACTTTACATCCCCATGGCTATTCTTTAACTACCTATTTGTACTTCTTAGTCCCCTCACTTCACCCATTCTCCCCCTCCCTCTTCCTATCTGGCAGCCTTCTGGCAACTTCTTTTCTCTTGCTGCTTTTAAGAGTCTCTTTTTATCTTTAACCTTTGGTATTTTAATTATGATGTGTCTTGGAGTGGACCTCCTTGCATCCATCTTGTTTGGGACTTGTGCTTCTTCACTAAAATAGGGAAGTTTTCTTTCACTGTTTTTTCAGATACATTTCCAATTTCTTGCTCTTGTTCTTCTCCTTCTGGCACCCCTATGATGTGAATGTTGGACCTCTTGAAGTTATTCCAGAGGTTGATTGATACTATTGTCATTTTTTAGTATTCTTTTTTCTTCTTACTGTTCTGCAAGGTTGTTTTTTGCTTCCCTGTGATCCAAATCATTGTTTTGGTTCTTGGCTTCATGCACTCTACAGTTGTTTCCCTGTAAATTGGTCTTTATTTCAATTAGTGTATCCTTCGTTTCTGACTGGATCTTTTTTATGCTACTGGGGTCCTCACTAAGTGCCTTGAGCATCCTTATAACCAGGGTTTTGAACTCTGCATCTGGTAGTTTGCTTATCTCTATTTTGTTTAGCTGTTTTTCTGGAGTTTTGACCTGTTCTTTCATTTGGGCCATGTTTCTTTCTCCTCATTTTGGCAGCCTCCTTGTGTTTGTCCCTATGTATTTAGTAGAGCTTCGTTGACTCCATATCTTGGTAGTGTGGCTGAATGTAGTAGGTGTCCTATAGAGTCCAGTGGCACAGCCTCCTGTATTACCCAAGCTGGGTACTGAAGGTGTGCCCTTTGTGTGGGCTGAGCACATCCCCCACTTATAGTTGGACCTTGGTTACTGTTGGAAGATCAATCAATGGGAGGGATTTGACCACTGACCACCAACCTCTGCTCTCCACAAAGGATGAGCTATGCAGGGAAAGGGTGGTGGTGCTCCCACCTGGACTTTAGCTGTTCACTAGGTGTGCTAGCCCTGGAGATTTCCTGAGTGGTGCAGGCCAAGGTCAGCCTCCACCTGTGTTTTGCCCCAGGTACCCTGCCTAGGATATAAAGCAATCTGAGGTGGCTGCTACTTGTGCTGGATTTAGAGATTCCCAGGGGAAGCTAAGCTGTGATTCTAATTTTGCTGTTAGTAGTGCTGGGCCTTGAACTCACTGAAGCAAGCTGTTGCTTGTTTGATAGGATTTAGGGAGTTGTGAAGCATGAGCCAAGACTAGCCATTTTTATGGAAAAGTAGCTTGGGTGGGCCCATAAGTTGGGTGGGATGGAGTCTCTGGGGATCTCCAGGGTGGGTCAAACAGTGTTAGCCAGGTTGATGGAGTCTCAGATATGGCACCAGCTTACTGGCTCTGTGGGGGGAGGGTTTAGCAAAGGGATCATGGGTTCTTCTTGCCCTGATGCCAGACACTTCAGTTTCTCCCTCTACACCACTGGTGCCTTTCAAGCTGCTACCCCGGTGCTGGAGCTCAGAGGGAGTGAGTCTGAGTAGGTTAGACCATGTGAGGGTTCTTTAAGAGGAACTGTTTGGGGCTCCAGTAGTGTCTTCTGCCTACTCAATCCCCAATGGTTTTTGCTGCCAGAAGTTGCTTATCTTCCTGGCATTGGAATCTTGGGCTGAGGGACCAGGTTTGGGTCTGGGACTCCTCGCTCCTGAGTTATCCCTCCCGAATTTTTATCTACTACACGTACTTGTGGGACCAGCCCATTCTGCCTCTGCACTTCTCCTACCAGTCTGGATGGATGTGGTTTCTTTAACTCCATAGTTTTCAGACTTCCATTCAACTCGATTTCTGATGGGGTTCTGAGTGATGGTTGTCCTGTATTTTAGTTGTGACTTTGATGTGGTTGGGGGAAGAGGCAAGCCATAGCTTCCTGTGCTGCCAACTTGACCGGAAGTGTAAATTTACCTCTTGATAGCTACATTAATAAGGTATATCTCAAAATAGTATTTAGTCACAAAATCACACAGAATTTTTTTCAGATTTACTTTACTAATATGCTTGCATTTGCTTAATATAAATTCAAGATGTGTTCTCGGAGAAAAGAATGTTTGACACCAGGGAGGAGTATCCAAGATGTCTGATTAGTGACAGGGGCATAATATTTGGGGGTTAGTTGTATATAGGAGCTAGCTTTAAGGCATTTCTTCTGGCTAAATCTGAGACCATTTGAACATTAAAATAAATATATAATCCACTGAGTAAAATGAGAGGCCTTGAATCTCTGCTGATACGCATATGAAAATGGGGGAGAAGGGAAAGCATCTTCTTAGAGAAGAATGCCTATTAATGTACATGGAAGGAATGATGGGACTAAGAAAATCATCACTGATATCAAAATAGGGGACAAAAGTTTGATAAGGCACAAGATACCTAGTTCTAAAATCTGTCTCCACAAATTACTTATTAATTGCAAAGAAAAAATAGTACAGTTGACCTTTGCACAACAAGGGTTTGAATTGCACAGGCCCACTTATATGCAGATTTTTTTCGATAAATACTGTAAATGTATTTTGTTTCCTTACGATTTCGTCTGTCTTCATTATAAGAATACTGTATACAATACATATAACATACAAAGTACGTGTTGACTATTTAGGTTATCTGTAAGGCTTCTGGTTAACAATAGGCTATTAGTAGTTAAGCCTTTGTGGAGTCAAAAATTATATGCAGATTTTCTAGTGCTGAGGGTGAGGGCGTCAGCTCGCCTAACCCCTGTGTTGTTCAAGGGTCAGCTGCGACTTTACAGTAGAGAGATCTGTTGGATACCACTTTAACCAGGTGACTAAAACATTGTTGATATGGTGACAAACTGCTCTCCTGTGCCTTCGAATATTGGGTTGGTCAAAAAGACCATGTGTTTTTTTCTGTAAAATAAAAGATACATTTTTCATTTTCACCTATAACTTTATTGGTTTGGGTATTTTGAGTATGTCCACAATGTCCCATGTGGTATAACCTTTATTGTTCTCCATTAATGTCTCTATTTAATCACTATCCACTTCGGCTGCTCTACCAACTGTGGAGAATCATCCAGTGAAAAATCTCCGGCATGAAACTTTGCAAACACTTTTGACATGTTCAGTTAGTCACAGCACCTTCTCCACACATGGCACATATCTCTCTTTTTTATTTTTGCATTTCAATAGCATTTTTACCTTTATTTAAATAATAAAGCATAATATGCCAAAAATGTTGCATATTTTCTTCCATATTCAATACTAAAATAGCTACACAAAAATTCACCAATTTCTGTTTTTTTAAATGCACGGTGATATAACAGCTGTCACAATATCCTCTAACAAAATTGTCTTGAATGAAGTTAAAAACAACTAAGCACTACTAGAGCCATCTTATGGGGGGGGGTGGAGGTGAACGCACTTTCCGGCCAACCCAGTAGGTGTGGAAGAGGTAACGCATTCGAGACCACCAGCTAGTAGGTGGTAGGGCAGGTTGCAGCGCAGGGTGTGTGAGTCTAGAACACATCTGGAGGTGGTTCTGGAACAAGGAGAGAGGATGGAAATGGGAATGTGTACACATTTATTTCTTCCTAATTCTGAAGGCATTTGAGTCACCTAGCTTGCATGGGATGCAGTTGCTGCAGACTAAACAGAGTCGGGGGTGGTGTCGATTGTGCTCTCAAATTATGGTTCCACACTGTTGAAGGTTCCCTGTTCTTTAAAAGAAAGAAGATCAAAAGATCGTTTATTTTCCAACTCCATTTCAACAAATTACTTCCATGACAGAGCAGGCCAAGTGAAGTGACAGGTTGAAGAGTTAGCCCTTCTCTTTTCTGAAAGGTGCTTTCTGCCATGCGCTTGTGGCTGGAATCAGTCTGGTGCTTGCGGAAGAGGTGCTCTTGGCCCCGCTCCGCCTTGACTGCACAAACAGCCCTGAATATCTCCAGATCTTTAATGTGATGTCGCGATTTTAGTTTTTAAAATTCATGAACAAAAAAAAAAATCTCTGCAAAAAATTAAAAAACTACCGATACCTCTTCAGAGTTTACTTTTATAGTCTTATCTTTTGCTGATTTCTTTGGCTTTTTCATTTTCTCCCCCAAATCCTAACTCGACTGTTACTTTTCTGACAGACCAGGTCCAAGGCACAGTCACCATCCGGAACATCAGTGCTCTGTCTTCAGGTTTGTACCAGTGTGTGGCTTCAAACGCCATTGGAACCAGCACCTGTCTATTGGACCTCCAGGTTACTTCCCGTAAGTATATAAAATTCTGATGTCCACTCTGGGTCTGAAACCAAGATCTTTGTTAAACTGGGGAATGCAGAGCACTGCCTAATTGTTCTTAGATGGTTTGAAGATTAAATAGAACTTTGTTTGGCTTTAATCATTATTGAAAATATTTTATGAATATATTAATGTATGTTTCAGCCTTAGCAGTATGACATCTTGATGACAAAATGTTGTCCTCCTCAGAGTCATTAGAATCAAATCACTTCTGATTGTATGATGCTGTAGACATTATAAAATTTGTAGTGATCCATGGCCACGGCCAAGACAATACCTTTCTGTAATATCTCCAGATCCCTTACTTCGGCTTAATTATTGGGTAAATAAGCAGCGTGGAATTTTTCTCTTCAATGGGGAATTCTGGGTTATTTGAATTGTAGTTGCAAAAGGGAGTGCTCTGTCTAGGTTGAGGTGTTGAGTTGTTGAGTCATCCCACTGATTGCTGGGTAAATTGGGGCCGGTTAGGCAGCTACCATCTTTTCCCTGTTTGGCTGGAGGCGGGCTCTCCTGAAACTGCGAGTCACGTAACTGTCCTCTAAATGTATGTGAGCCTGCTCTGTGCCAGTCCTGGCCACTGGGGCTGCGGGAAGTTAGGGGAGGTTTAACTTGATGCAGGCACTTGAGGCAATTTGGATGCAGTACTTGAGGCAATTTTGTACATTTTAAGAAGATTCTTTATGAAACTTAAGCTTGTAAAGTCACATGGATATATACTGTTTCTCTCTCTTTCTCTGTCTTTAAATTTTTTGTTCTTTAAATATGCCTTAAATATATTTTGCAGCCCAGCCCAGGAACACTGGACTAATAGCTGGAGCCATTGGCGCTGGTGCAGTTATTACCATTTTTTGCATTGCACTAATTTTAGGGGCATTCTTTTACTGGAGAAGCAAAAATAAAGAGGAGGAGGAAGAAGAAATTCCTAATGAAATAAGGTTTGTGTGTCAGATAATTTGTCTTGCTTAGCCACCCTCTGTACTTCTACTCAGTCAGGCATCTGAAATTTCTTTGCTTATTTTACATCCGTGATGGCCAAGATAGTTAAAATGGCTAAATGATATTTTCTCGCATGATAACACTTTGCCTCATGGCTCCAGTCAGCTTTATCTACTGGATGGTGAAAGGGGAGGACTAGGAGGAGGACACAAGTGAATAACGTCCCCTTTTCCTCCCATGTCTCCAGGGTGAGTGAGGTTAGGTGGCAGCCACAGTAGAAAAGTTAGAACATGTGTTTCACATTGACACATATTATAAATGAGAACATAAAGCAAGAAGGAATACTGTAGAGCATACCAGTACCTATACAGAGATGGGCCAAAGCATTATGGCTTGGTGTGAAAGAGTCAGTCAAGTATATGAACACCTTAAGAAAACAATGCCAAAATGACCTTTGAGGTTAAGTGCCTCTTGCCATATTATGGAGGTAATGGGGGTTCAGACTCAGTTCTCAGGTTGCATCATGTCACATCCTTATTGAAAAGGCTGTAATGGCTCCGGTCTGCTTAGCATTATGTATACAGCCTTGCAGAATCTAACCCCCACCTGCTTCCCTGGTCTTACCCTCCCATCACTTTTCTGATCACTTTGTGTTCCAGTCTATTCTGTATTTTCTCATGCCTCAGGGCCTGTGTTCAAGCCTCTATTCTCTTCCTGGGATATACTCCTTCCTTTTTCATCCATCTCTTCAGTAAATTCCTTGATCTGATTCAAGACTAGTCCAGGCATCACCTCCTCATATAAATTGGCTTCAGCCCTTTTCCCAGCCTTGTGGATGTGCAAATGTTCTCGTATTGATGGTCACCCCCATTTGACCAGAGGTTTCTTGGCTGTCAGACCTGTGTATTTTTTACATGAAACATCTAGTGGAATAGTACTCAATAAATGTTAAATGAATTAACATCTTAAATTAACGACTTCTCTTAGCCTCTTCTAATTCTTATGGGTTTGGACTGTATGCAGGGGCAGAGCTCATGCCACACAAGGTTACTGAGCAAAACCTCTTTTCAGCAGACCACAGTCATTGCTCACACCCCAAAGTGCAATAAGATCAGGCCGACTTGAACCACCTCTTGAAGTTCTTCACACTCTAGCTTGGTTTCCTAGCTAACAGCAACTAGCTCCGCGGAATTCTTCATGGGCTATTTTCCTATTTGGAGCAAATATGCATGCAGATGCGTTTTTTTACTTACATTGGAAGACACAAGTCTTTGAGAGATTTGAAGTGACCTTTTTTTGTCTTGGAGACTGAGAAGCCGAGGGAACTTTTCTGGAGCAGTAGGGATGTTTCAGCAGGAACAGATGTTAAAGCCAGGCCACCAGAGCTGCGGTGGCCTACCCGGAGGAATGGTGTCTCACAGACGTGTTAGCCTTAGCATAGAAGAAAGAGTCCTGGTAGAGTTAACCTGAAGTGAATCCTAATGACGACTTTATTTTGTTCTGTTTCAGAGAGGATGACCTTCCACCTAAATGTTCTTCTGCCAAAGCATTTCACACCGAGATGTCCTCCTCAGAGAACAACACATTGACCTCCTCCAATACCTTCAACAGTCGGTACTGGAGCAACAATCCGAAAGTGCACAGAAACACAGAGTCATTCAACCACTTCAGTGACTTGCACCAGTCCTTCTCCCTGCACTCAGGCAGTGCCCACATACCATCCATCTATGCTAATGGGAGCCATCTGGTCCCAGCTCCACATAAGACTCTGGTAGTGACAGCCAACAGAGGATCGTCACCACAGGTCACGTCCAGGAACAATGGCTCAGTCAGGAAGCCTCGGCCTCAGCACACACATTCTTGCACCGTCAGCCGAGCGACCCTGGAGCGAATTGGCGCCGTCCCTGTCATGGTGCCAGCCCAGAGTCGGGCCGGGTCTCTCGTATAGGACAAGAGCCAATAGAGCTTTCAGAAAAGAACCAGTGAAATGCTCCGCACAAGAGGCTGGGTGTTGTGGGTAAGTGCTGGGACAGAAACTCTTTCCTTACCATGATTCCAGTAAAAAAGCACAAGAAAGCAAATGCGTTACCCGGCCACTAAGATTTGTGACATGAACCAGACTGCTCTGTCATGAAGACTTGTTTCCCCACTACAGATGTCCCAGGGTTCTACTCAGAAAGCTGGATCTCAAAGATGTGCCAAGCCAAGGAAGAAGATAGGAGAGCAGAATAGCACGAAAAATCTAAATGGCATCCAGGCGGGTTTGTTCTTTAGTTCACGCCTAATGTATTAGTTTTTCAAGAGACTAAAGTGCCAGATGGAGTTTAAATAATGAAATTATTCTAAAAGATAGGCGTCTTTAGAAACAATAATGAACATCCTGGGATACCTCCCAGCTCTCCCCGTCCCCTCTCTACGTGGAGGGCGAATGGCGTGAATGGTTCCCATCTTTCCCAGCAGGGCTGCTCTTGTGTCACAGAATCAAAGCTTTTTACACAAGCAAAAGTTACTAAGAAATGGGAGAAAATGAAAGAAACTTCTTTGACAAGCCCATTTATATTTATTTATTGTTCGAACCACAAATTTCATATCTGGAATATTGCTCTGTTGACAGATTCTTGCCTGTCCATGTTTTTTCTAGGGCTTGCCATTGGTCCATGACAGTTACTGTTCATTGCTTCCTGGGAAAGTTTTTTTTTAAACTATTGGTTTTTAAAAGGAATACATGAGGGGCATTGGACTAGGGAAAGAGAAGACTGTTATTACCACCACATTCAGCGAGTATTCTTTGGGCCCACAGAGGTCCATCAGGAAAGAGGCAGGGGTGGGGGCGGCACAGGAGGGAAGGTGGGCAGGTCCCAGGACCCGGAGGTTTCCTGGCAGCCTCTTGGGCCAGCATCCAGGTCTCCCTGTCATCACACGGGGTCACTCTTAATGAGGGCAGTACCCGATGCCTTTTGTCCGGAGGTAGATAATTTTCTCCTTGTTTGACAAGTAGGGGTTATCTTAGTAGGTTGTTACAGGGCAGGAGATGTTTTCTTTTTTTTTAAATAACTATTTTTGCAAAAGATGGTACTGAGACAAAAAGGCTGTGTTTCAGGTATGCTGCTTGGAGGGTCTGCCCTGTATTTTTCAGAGCTCAGGGTTGCAATTGTGTCCAAATGCATTTTACACCCCTACAAAGAGACTCCTTTTGTGATTAACTACAGGGTGTGGCTGGCTGTGGAGTTCAGCAGATAAGGTACAAACTCCCCACTGTATTTTGTGCTGTGTAGGGCTGGCCATACTTGGATTGGTGACTATCTTGCCTTAATCACACTTTAAGCAACACACAAATGCTGTCTTCCCAGACTTAAAAAAGTTCATGATACTGACCCCAGGATTCCCTAAGAGCGTCTTCTTTTCCCGAGGTTGTTGCTCACTCCCTCTCCCCACTGGGTCTTTTGCCCTCTTTTCTTGCAAGCATTGCCACCACAGGGAGTGGCCTTCTGATTTTTAGACTTATTTGATTAAATGGAAACCAGCAGCTGCTGCATACAATGTCTCCAAGAGGGCTAAGCTCGGAACCTAACCATTCCGATATTGATGAAAAGCTAAATTTACTTCGGCATTACTTATTTTTTTATTTGATGGTTCTCGACTTTGTAAAAATTTAAATGTGAATGTCTATCCTTTTTAATAAAGTGAAAATACCATGACCCAGAGAAGATGATAATGTCAGATATTGTTTAGAAAGCATTTATCTTGCATTTCTTTATTCTTTCTAATTATCTAAAATTTAATAAAAGTTTATTCATATAAAAACAAGTTGTCGTAATTATCATAATACTAACAAATAGATGATTTTGTGTTTCTCTTAATCTTATAAGCACTTTCCAATGTGTTAAATAGTATTCATAATCATTTTAATGAACATGTAATATGAGGTTTGTCCAGAAGGTATCCAGCCATGCAATATGAAAAATAAGAGACATTTATTGAAGAAGATACAAGACACATTGTACACAGGACAATGAGGCCTCAGTCCCCTTCAAAGTAGGCACCTTGGGACCTCACACAGTTCTCCCAGTTGCTGTCAGCTGTCCCTTTGTATTTTCCTGAATCTCACTGATGGTGTGAAATCTCTTCCCTTTCCAAGGTGATTTGATTTTTGGGAAGAGACAGAAGCCACAGGGCACCAAATCAGGGCTGTAGGGGGAGCGTTGAGTCACCTGAGTGATTTGATGTTTCACAAAAAAGTGTGCATGAGATGTGATACGTGAGCAGGTGCATTGTCCTGAGGAAGCTGTCAGTCAGCACTTGCCCACAGCTGCGGCCTTCTGTCATCCAAATAGTTTCCACGGAGGAATGTTCAAGCTTAATGCAAAGTTTGATGCAGATTCGTTGCTCTACTCCCTTAGTCACTTTAGATGCAACAGTCACACAGTACACATGCTCACTCAATGGCATCTACCACCCCCACTGACTAGTACTGTGAAGTCATCATTGTTCACACATGTGCGTCCCAGTCCACTCTCCTTGGCTGCCAGGTTACATCAATGTCATGCAAACCATTCTCATTATAGTAACAATGGCTGGACTTTTTCCAGACTGACCAAAAATTACTTAACTTTTGTTGTTAGAAATTTAAGTTGGATCCAATTCTCACATGTATGATTGCAGGTGTAATGACCTTTTCTACAGACTGAGCTATTTTTACATTTCATATTTCCTGCTTTTTAAGCCCTGAATCTCTGTCACCTAAACCAGTGCCTGATGAGATTGTTGAGTAGTGAATGACTGATGATTTTAGAACTGAAATTGCCAAGTGTTATTTCAGAAACTTAGGATCATGATCATAACTCTTGCCATATGGAAGTGTGGGCAAAAGGTTCACAGTTTGTATGGAAAAAGATATGCAGGTTATGATTATAATAATACAAGAATAAACTGTTTTGTATACTCACAACTGCAAGCCTACTTTTGTCCACCCTTGTATATTGAATTATTCCTTTGTTTTACCTTTTATTTTGAGATAACTATATATTTATATGCAGTTCTAAGAATAATAGGTCTCCATATACCTTTCACCTAATTTCCCCAATGGTAGCATTTTGCATAGGCATTGCACAGTATCATAAATCGACATTCCATTAACCTTATTGAGATCTCACCAGTTACATGTGCACTCGTGTGTGCACACACAGTTACATACAGTTTTATCCTGTGTAGGTTCATGTGACCATCACCACGGTCAAATACAGGGCTCCGTGTGCTTGTCTTACATAGTTACAGCCCCTCTCTCTTCTCCAAGTCCCAAATCACTAACCTGCTCTTTATAATTTTGTTATTGCAAGAATGTTATATAGAGGATATAACATTCTTTGTCCTGCAGTTTGTAACCTTTGGGGATTGGCTTCTTTCACTCAGCATGATTTTCTAAAGGTCCATCAGATTTTTCCATGTATCGATAGTTCATGCCTTTTTATTGCTGAGTAGTATTCCAAGGCACAGACATACCATAGTTTGTTTGATCATTCACCCATTGATGGGTATGAAGGGTATTTGAGTTTACATTCTTATGGCTTTTACAAATACAGCTGCTGTGAATGTTTTTTTTTTACTATGAACATTTTTGTACAGGTTTTGTGCGAATGTAAGTTTTCATTTCTCTGAGAGAAATGCCTAAGTGCAGTTGCTCCAGCACCATTAGTTGAAAAGTCTATCCTTACTCCAGCGAACTGCTTTTACACCTTCGAAAAAACTCACTTAGGTATATTTGTGTGTCTCTTTCTTAGTTTTCTAGATGATCCACTGATCTTTGAGTCTATCCCTCTGTTACAGTGGGGAGAGAGACACCCAAGACAGGAGGCCTTTCTCTCCCAACTCCGTTCTTGTCTCACTTGCAAGAGAGTAATTCAGGAGAGAGGCAATACATACAGGGGAAATGTGAGCAAGTTCATGTATGAAATACACACCAGCATGGAGCTGCAGGCAGGTGCCTGCCAAGTCTAAGTGCCCCACACAGAGAGGAAAGAAGGTTGTTAGGAAGTTTGGTAGTAAGTTAGTGAGTTTGTTCTATATACTTGAGATGAGGCTACAAGTGGGTACTTAGCTAGTCTAAGTACACTGGCTATTTGAGTTCAGGGGTTATATACCTCAGCTGGCTCCTAGTTTCCCCCTCCTTTCCCCTGTTGGGAATAAAGTATAGCTTAGAGAGGCTTTCTTTCTCAGTTAGTAAAGGTTCTTAGTCTTAGTGTAATTGTTACAGAGGCTCCGTTTCCCAGCATAGCCCCCCCTTCCTCCTGTGCAATTCCTATCTTGTGATGTTCGGAGCACCTGGCCATCCTAGTAAGATTGCTACAGAAGCCCCTTTTCTCAGCTCAGCATCAAGGGCTGTCCCCCCCTCTTGGGCTATTTTGCTTGTGATGCTTGGGACCCCCCATCAATCTTACCAAACTGAGCTCAGGACTGCTGAGTTCATTGGTGAGATGTGTCTTCCTTTTGATTTTATCCTCCTGTATTAAGTTCTTTGTTAAATTGTAATGGTGAGAGACCTGCCTCTATTTCCCCTCTGGTGGCTCATTCCTAGCTGCTACCTAACACCTCCAGTGATAATAAGCTGACCACAGTGGCAATCAACAAGCTTCAACCTCAGGTAGAGCCGTTTCTCCCACTGCGTTCTTCCCTGTCGGAGTTGTTGTAGCTGTGCTAGTTCCTGTGCCTTTCCATAGAGATTTTAGAAGCAAATGGTCTGTGCCTACAAAACACTGTGATGTTTTACTAGGCATTGCATTAAACCTATATTAATTTGAGAAGAACCGTCATCTTTACTATTTTGAATCCTCCAACCCATGAACATATATTTCTCCATTTATTTACATCTTCTTTGATTTATTTCATCAGCATTTTGTAATTTTCAGAATGTAGATTCTGTACATGGTTTGTTGGATTTGTCCCTAGGTAATTTTTGAAGCTATTATAAATGTTACTGTTTTAAATTTTGATTTCTATATATTAGTTTTTAGTGAATAGAAATGTTAAAAAAGGAAATAGAAGTGCATTATATATGTTGATTTTACATTTTGTAACCTCGCTGAACTCCCTTCAGAGTTTGTTTCTTTTCTTTCTTTCTAGATTCCTTGAGATTTCCTACATACATAATCATATCATCTACAAATAGGGATAGTTTTATTTCTTCCTCTTCCATCTGTGTGCTTTTTCTTGCATTATTTTAATGGTTAAAACTTATAAAAGTAATGGATTATATCCTTCTCCAATCTAAAGGGAAAATCATTTTTTTACAATTAAATGTGATGTTAGTTGTAGGTTTTTGTAGATTATTTTATCAGTTGAGGAAACTTCACTCCATTACTATACGCTGACAGTGTGTATCATTTATCAGTGTTGAATTTTGTCGTGTTTTTACTGCATCATTTGATACAATAATATGATTTTTTCCTTTGGCCTATTGATAGGCTGGATTAATTGACTAATTTTCAAATGTTGAACCAGTGTTGTGTATCTGGGATAAATTTTAGTAGGTCAAGGCTTGTAGCTTTTTTAAACATTGCTGAATTTGATTTGTTTAATATTTTGTGGAGGATTTGTGTGTATAAGTGCATGGAATTCTCTAGTAAAATCATCTGTGCCTAGAGATTTTTTTTTCAGTTTTTAAATTACTGATTGAATTTTTTATTGGTCATAGGGTTATTCAGGTTATCTATTTCATCCTGATTGAGTTTTGATAATTTGTAGGTTATTTTAAGGAATTGGTGTCCTTTTGTGAGAGCAAAATGGTACTGATACCTCATTTCACTCCTGATGATAATGATCTGTGTCTCATATCTTTTTTGTTTTTGTTAGTTGTTTGAAACTGTCAATTTTACTGATTTTTCAAACAAACCCCTTTTGTTTTACTAATTTTTTTCTATATTTCAGTTTCCAGTTGTATTGATTTTTCCTCTTTATTATTTCCTCTCTTCTGCTTGCTATGGGTTTGTTCTTACTTTCTAGTTTCTCTGTGGGAGCAAAGATTATTGATTGGAAATTCTTCCTCTTTTCTAAAGTGAGCCTTAGGGGCTATAATTTCCCCTTTAGTACTGCTTAGCTTCATCTGTATATTTTGACATGTTGTTTTTTTAATCTTTATTTGATTCTATGTGTTTTAAATTTTCCTGTGAGAATTCCCTTTTGGAATTATTTAGAAATGTGTTACGGTCTTCCTGTTAATGGTTTGTAGGTTGAAGTCAGAAAAATAACCTGTTGTTGTAATTCTTCCACGTCTGTGGAAGTGTGTGTGTCATGGCTTAGGACACACTCGGTGTTGCTGCTTGTTCCATGGACTCTTCTTGGGTGGAATGTTCTGAGTGTACCAATCAGATTAGGTCGATTGATTGCACTGGTCAGTTTTATGTTCTTACTGATTTTCTTACCTAGTAATTCATTGGCTGAAACTGGGGTGTTAAAATCCACAACTGTGGTTGCAGATTTGTCTGTTTCTCCTCAGCTTTATCATTTTTTGCTTTGTATATTTTGAGGCATTTTTGGTAGGTGCACATATATTTAGAATCACTGTGTCTTCCTGGCACATCAGGCCATTTATCATTATGTGATGTTCCTTTTTGTTTCTAGTAATTTTATTTGCTCTGAAGTCTACTTTAGCTGGTTGCCTCGTGCATTTTTAAAATTAAAGTTGTTTGTATAGCATGCCTTTTTTCATCATCTTTCAATATCCCTATGTTATTAATTGAAGTGAGTTTCTTGTAGACAGCATATTGTTGGATTATAATTGTGTCCATTCTGAAAATATCTGTCTTTTAATTTGTATATTTAGATAATTTCCACTTAATGTAATTATGGATGGGTTGAGGACTTAAATCTGTTTGGTTTTTTTTGTTCCCTCCTTCTATCCTGTATTATTTTTCTCTTCTTGACTTCTTGTGATCTACTTGAACAATTTTCAGTATTCATTCTTGATGTATTTGTAGTGGTTTTGAGTCTATCACTTTATATAGTTGAATTTTTAGCATTTATTTTAGATATTACAATAGGCACACGTAACACATCAGTCGATTTGTGCCAACATTTTACCACTTGGAGTGAAATGTGAAACTGTACTCCCATATATATGTCCCATTTGTTTCCCCACTTTTAAATATCTTTTTCTTGATTACAAGATGATGAATGATTTTTGTTTCAATCATCAAATACAATTTTTAAGACTCACGAGAAGTCCATATTTCTGTACTTTTTTTGCTATACTTTCTTCCTGACTAATGGTCCTAGATCCTTCTTTCAGCATTTCCTTTCTTCGAAGAACTCCCGTTAGCCAATTGGTAAGGCTGGGTCTGCTAGCAGCCAATTCTATTTGTTATCTTTTGTCTGATAATGTCTTTATTTTCCCTTCACTCCTCACCAGATATATTTATGGTTGACAGTTCTTTTCTTTCAGCACTTGAACAATTTGGGAAATGTTCAGCCCAAAGAGTATTATTTCTTGAAATATTCTTTCAGCCTTAGTCTCTTCCTTGTATCCTTCTGGGACTCTGATGATGGATCTCTTGTCATTGTCCCACAGATTCCTGAGGCTCTGTTCATTTTTTCAGTCTATTTTATGTCTGTTGTTCAGGGTAAATCCTATTGATCTGTCCTCATGTTTACTGATTTCTGTCTTCTGTGATTTACTATCTGTACTATTGAGCCCACCTAGCCAGTTTTTTATTCCAGTTGCTGTTATTTTTAGTTTGATAACTTACATTTAATTCTTTTTAAAACAAATTTTAATTATTTAAATTACAACTTATATTGAGGTATAATTTACATATCATAACGTTTGTTTATGTAAAGTGTACAATTCCATAGTACGCCATCTTTCCCTTCTCGAGTTCTGCTACTCC